CTTGCAGTGAGCTGAGATCCGGCCACTGCACTCCAGCCTGGGCGACAGCGCGAGACTCCGTCTCAAAAAAAAAAAAAAAAAAAAAAAAAAAAAAAAAATGCAGATTCTGCCAGGCGTGGAGGCTCAAAAAAATAAAAAAATAAAAAGCAGATTGCTGGGCCTCACCCAATTTGGAATGTCAGGGGTGGAGCCCAAGGGTTGAGTTTGCAACCCGCGCCTTACCTAACAGTGTGTTCCCAGGTCCCTGTGCCCAACAGGTGCTTTTTGGGCCCAGTAATGTCTGCTTCTACTCCTAGGCGAGGGTCTGTCAACATCTCTGTTTCTGTCTCTCTGCAGGCTGTCTCTCAAGGTGGTCTCTTGCGCTGCTAGCAACTCAAAAATCCCAACAGCACTCCCTATCCTTCCCCTGACCCCAGACCGCTGCCAAGCCTGTTCTCCCCCATTACAACATGGTCTCACTCAGGGCCTGGACTGCTCCAAAACTCACCCAGGTCTCCAGCTCTCCTCTACCACCCACCACCCTGGGCTTACTTTTGGATAGGAAATAAACTCTTTATTTTTGTAGTTGTTGGCTCTGGGTGTTTCTGGGGGTTAGTCTGAGAGCCCCAGGGCTTTGGAGGAGCCAACACAGCAATCATTCCCCACCCTCACCCCCGCTGCACCCCAGAGCCCTGTTGCTATCTTTAGGAAGGGCAGAGGCACCAGCCAATCTACTTGGCACCACATTCACACCACCAGGGGCCCCAGGGATGAGGGAAAAACTTCATTAGTCACTATGGGCGTATTATACCCGCTTCTCTCCCCTGCACACCAGTCACAGCCATATACACACACAGTATGTGGAAAGGATAGAGTCCTGACTTTGGCCCACCTCCAGCCTTGGAAAGGTGGGCCCAGGGGACTACCCATCCCTCCCATATAAGGAACTGTTCAAGAGCTGGGTATGGCAAGGGGGCTGGGGGAAGAGCTTGTCACCAGCCAGAACCTGCTAGGAATCCCTCTCTGCCCCATCCCCTCTGTCCTCCCAACAAGCCCTCTCTTCCCTCTTCCTTTTCACTTCTCATGATCACTGGCGTGGAAGGGGGTCTTGTGTGTTATGGATGTAAGAAAGAGACGCCCTGGTGACTAGATGGAACTAGATGTGGGCACAGTTTTGTGGCAGGTTGTCCAAGGCAGGTAAATTCTCCAGCTGAGGCTCCAAGATATGCCTGGTGTTGGCCAGTGTTAGAGGCACAATGGCCACAGCTGTCCCTGGTGAGCTTTGATTCCACACAGGTTTTCAGTAGTGTCCCTGGAGGGTGAGATGCAAAAGAAGAGGAGGTACTGGTCTGTGTTGAGAGGTAAGGGTGGGAGGAATCAGGAGCGGGCCCCATCCATATTGAAACGAGTAGAAGAAACAAATATTCCTGATCCATATGGGGGGGGTGCAGAGTGGGGGTGGTTCTAGTCTTTATTTGCGGATGGAGAGGGCCCAGGCAGAGATTGTCCAGCTCTGTATTCCGTGTCAGAGAGAAGAGCTGACCCTGGCTGGGAGCAGGGGAAGGCAGAGGCAGAGATGGTCTTTGTGCCGGCCCCCTGCACCAAGTAGGAGGTGGTGGCAGCAGCTCTCCGTTTGATCTCACCCAGCATCCTGTAGAGAACCCTTCCTACAGCGCTTTCATCGCCTTCCCCATCACAGACGCCCCCAGCAATCGGGCTTCCCAAGCTGACTTGGCCGGAAAGTGCAGACAGGGGCTTCTCCAGATCGGCAAGTTCAAAGGACTGAGGCCTCGCATGCATATTCATTCGCACCATGTTTCTTCTTTCCCAATTCTGCACACACAGTCCTCTGCCTTCTTCCAACGCTCCACCACCCGCCTTCCCTCGGGGCGTCCGGAACCGGCGGTGACCGGGTGGCAGGCTTGGCCTTAAAAAGTTCCCGGCCATAGGCTGGGCGCAGTGGCTCAGGTCTGTAATCTCAGCACTTTGAGAGGCCGAAGAGGGCGGATCACCTGAGGTCAAGAGTTCGAGACTAGCCTGGCCAACATGGTGAAACCCCGTCTCTACTAAAAATACAAAAATTAGCCGGGCGTGGTGGTGCGTGCCTGTAATCCCAGCTACTCGGGAGGCTGAGGCAGGAGAATCGCTTGAACCCGGGAGTCGGAGGTTGCAGTGAGCCGAGATCGCGCCACTGCAATCCAGCCTGGGCGACAGAGTGAGACTCCGTCTCAAAAAAAATAAAAAGTTCCCGGCCGGGCTCGGCCTTGTAGTCAGCCGGCTCCAGCCTAAGCCCAAGTCCCAGGCAGCCACGGACTCCTCCCATCGCCACGAACTACAAGTCCCGCCAT